ATTATTGGGGTACCTAATTTTGACCCATACCCAAATCAAATCTGAAGAATGGTGTCCCCAAAATGATGTTACCACTGGATACCGGATAGGCTGTGGCGGAATTATTAGGTTCCATATGAATTTCAGCGAGATTACACCTTGGAAATCCAAGATACAGCAAAAAAAAACAAAAAAAAACATGAGAACCCCAAACACCTGAGGCATTTCTAGAAAAATCATCGTCCAAACTCTCTGGTTGGTGGTTTCAACACCTCTGAAAAATATTAGTCAATGGGAAGGATTATCGCATATATTATGGAAAATAAAAGCCATGTTCCAAACCACCAACCAGCTCTGGTATGTTTATTTTATGTTTTTTTTTTTTTTTCGCAGCTAATTTGAGGCACAGCATGAACTTCACAAGAGCAGCTATGCCTGAGTCACGCCACAAACATCGCCCCCTACGTAGGAGGCGAATAGGGGTCCACGTCGTAAGTCTTGAACCAGGTCCCAGTTTAAGCACATGAATATGGGATCATGGGTGTGTCTGAAAATGGATTATGCCATATTATGCTTCCCCCCATATTATAAATATGTATTTGAATAAGGGACAATGATGATTAACCACTGGATAAAAAAGGGTATCCGTTTTGTTCAGACAAGCCCTTAAATCATCACTATGCTCACGTTGATGGTTGCTTTCTCTCACCCTTCAAGGTAAAGTCTCACAGGAAAATCCCCTTGGTGGATGGTCACAAGTATGATTTCCTCGCTCTTCCCTCAGCTTTGGGTCAAGCTACTTGGTGGTTCATCCCAGTTAGTAAGTGGGTTAGTTCACCCCAGTTACAAGTGAACTAACATGAACTAACCCTACTTAACCCATTAAAAAATCAGGGTGAACTAACCTAATTACCTACTAAGTGGGATGAACCATCTCAAGTAGCGTCCCAATTTCAATGGGATCCATTTCTGTGGAGCAGCCAGTGCCCTGGTGGAGCGAGGGCCTCTGCTACCCATCCAACTCCGATCCTGCGCCCCATCCATAAACAAGGAGAATACCAGCCAGTGCCACTGCAGGGAAGAAACCAACAGTATCGGATTTACATGGATTTACTTACATGGATTTATATGGATTTACATGGACTTATATACCACATCTTGTGAATCTTGGAATCTTGTTGAACATGCTTGAACCACAGCCCTTATCAGATGTTACCAGGTGTTACCTGAGTCCTTGGCAATCATCATCCCATTTGTCGGGATGAAAAGAACGTAAAGACTCAAGACCATTATAGAAACGGCACACACGCCAGTGAAATACATCCACAGTATCTCTTAAGATATCCCTGGATATTTCGTGATATTGTCTTTTCCCACAACATATGGGTTTGTCTGAAAATAGGGTATATTCCCAATTATAGCCATTTAATAGGGATAATGATCATTAATAATTAACCATTGGGTTTAGGGGTACACTATTTTCAGACACACCCATATAACATTGATTGGCTTCCCACGGGTGCCAACCACTTGATTCTAACCTGGATGATCTAATACAGGTCCAGGGTGTCTTCAAACATGGCTGGGAAATTCCCTGTAAAACGCGAAAAATCATGGGGAAATCTTCGCTATGTTTGGGGCAGTTTCCAGCTATGTTTGATTACCAGAGGTGTAGCCCTTCCAATGTTTTGGGTTTCTATTGATTTTGAGATGTTTTGAGCCAGTGCCAAATCCAAAACCACTTTGGAACACCGGTTTTTTTTCGTCCAAAAAAAAAAAAATGGCCGGTGACCACAGTGTCGACACTGACAAGACGACGGAGACTCCGAAATTCAAGCGGCACGAATCCCCTTCAAAAAACTCTGAGTTCATAGCTCGTAGCCCATAGAAATTCTGGCTGAAATCCATACCCTCTGGTAATTTTTGTAACAGTTTGCTATTGAAGCCATGGCCCAGTCGAAACAGTGGATTGACCCAGCTAGAAAAATGATGAAAAATGGTGGATCTTTCCATAGTTATTATGTAAACGTAGAAACCAGAGGGTAATATCGTTTCTTCGAGAATACCCAGTTGCAGTAGGTATCCGCAACAAAAGATCTATCTCGTTCATCGTCCGCACATCATGGCCAAGCTTCGATACGCAGATGCAGAAAGCTTTGCAGTCCGGAGCAGACTGAATAGTCTGAGTAAATTCTCGCAATTCACAAGCTCCATACAGGATGGTGCCCCCCAGTTATAAGTTGGTTTATAAACCCCATTAACTATAGTTATATCTGAGCCATAAACCATAGTTATGGGAGGTATAAACCAACTTAGCTAACTATGGGGCACCACCTTGTACTGTCAATGGTTGCGAAATCCTGCACCAAACCCATGGCCAAAATCATGGGATTACCATCAACTAGTGCAGGATTTCGCAGCCATCCACAGCGACATCATCCGGTTGCAGACCATACTTTCCGACGAAAAGCGACAGTCGAGGTCGTCCCCAGAGGTCCCCATGGCCCCATATCGGGGGTAGATTCCACAGCCTGACTGCACCATGACCCAGCATCCAATTTGATGTCCTTTTGGTAAAAATAGCTTTGGGCCGGGAGCTGGTTAGTGCCGTTAGCCGGGAGCTGGTGATCATCCCATCATCATAGAAACCTGTTGTTTTTCAGTTTCTGAAGAAACCCCTCTATTTTCATCAACCAACCTACATGGGAATTTGGGACATCTATGGCCATTAATCACAATATCCCATTGTTATCCCATTGTTGTCCCATTGTTATCCCATTGTTATGCCATTGTTATCCCATTATATAACCACCACAATCAACCAGCCGACATGGGAATTTGGGACAGGACATCAGGAGATCAAGACATCAGCATCCTTGGAGACCTTGATCCGTTGATGCATGGCCACCAAGACCTGGCGTCAAGGATTTCTTCGTTGAAACTGGCTTCATGTTCAACCCCAATGCTGGGCTTGACATCCTATGAATTCTGAAAATCCTGAGGATTCAAGCACTGTACTTTCTGAGGAAGTATTTTGGATATGATTTAGGGGTCAAGTACCTCTCAGCAAGTACTTGGATCTACTTGGATCCATAGGGCAGGTAAAAAATTCAAAATGTTCCCCAAAGATTCCAAACATTGACATATGGATTCAGAAATGAGGTTTGGAGACCCTTTGCAGTTTGGTCCGGGGCAGCAGAAAGACCTGCCCACGGCGTGTCAACTACTTGCAAAGCTTGCAGTGATGCAGTGACCATCATGTCAAAATGCTGATTCATGCTCTAAACTGGGAAAGTCATAAGAATATTCCTCAGCTATATTGACTCCAGCCGTTTTTTTGTTTTTTTTTGGGCATCTAGTCATTCCATGTCATTCCAGTCAGCTCTGAGCTTCCCCGCATCAGACAAAGGATCCTTTAAACTCTTATCGGATTCCTGGCGCTCTTCAGCGACACACCAACTCGGCGACTCCAAAATCAAGAGATCCTTAAGGAACTTCCCATCCAGGAAGATCCTGGAAGTAGCCTCTGGTTATGACTAACAGTTCGCCATGGGAGTTCGATGGCCCAATCGAAATAGATGATTTTCCCAGCGAACGAACCCTCCATTTATGGTTGGGATTTTCCATGGCTATGTTAGTCATAACCAGATGGTAATGAATATGGCTACTGATTTAGGGTGTAAATACGGTAGTTGGATCATGGTACTTCCTGTCGAAAAATCGAGCTTGGTAGGATCACAACTGAAGTGACAGCGGCACTTCCAAAAAGGAAGTCAAGGGATTGAAACCAACAATCTGGGGTGAATCAAACGAATAAAACGGAATCTGGAAAACGGAATAACCACACGTGAAGGGCGAGAAAAGATGAGCCGTCAAAATCGCAGAGCGCAAGGGAGGCAAGAGGGAGGGGGAGGAAAGAAGTGACTGGAACAGGCGCAGCTCGATATGAGCTGCGGAATCCGTGTTCATGATTGATCAGGAGAAAGATTCACTACCAAAAAACACAGCGAAACAACGCTGGGAAAACAAACTTCATCGACTCATTGACTCATATTTTTTGCAGCCAGAGCTTGCTCAGCTTCTGTGCGGCTATGTGCTGTTGTTTGCCTTTCACATCCCTGAAAATTCTCAGCTGCAACTCATGTCCACCACACACGCTACTCTACCAATGTGGTCATCCCAATTTTCCGAGTTAGCTACCATTTGCGGGTGGTTGGAATATACCCATCTAATAAACTGGTCATCTGGGGGATGGTGAAAAAACTCAAGGTTACCAACCACATTACGGTTACTTTACGGTTACTGGAACATCGCCAAAGTAAATGTGTATCATTCACGTTGTGAAAACCCATGGCCCAATGGCGATTTGGCCAGGCAGCCACAGGAGATGTGGCCGACCGGGCCTGAATGTCGGATTCCAGCATGTTGGACGCAGTCTGGCACGGCCAAAACATGCCCCAAGCACCCAAGATACCCAAGCAACGTGTGCACAAAGCCAAGGAGAACTATAAAATCTACAAATCTGCAGCCTTGATTTCAAGTCAGTGGAACCAAGATAAGTCATCAGTATTGAAGCCCGTAGTCAATCGATATTACCAACTGGAGATTGGAGACAGTTCGGGGCAATTCCATTGCTGAATCACTGAATGGCAAATTTTAGATACCCTCTGGTAATTTAACATAGCTATTGAAAATGGCCATTTATAGTGGATTTTCCCATAAAAAATGGTGATTTTCAATAGTTATGTTAGTTTACCAGAGGGTATCCCAAAGAGACCATTTTTGGCAGGGTTCAAACATATTCCTTCCTTGGGCAGCCTGGCTCAGAATCAACCAACTCAAGATTCAGATTTGGGACTGAATAGTTCCCCTCCAGATTAAGGTAGAAAGAACACCATCTAAAATCATGGCAGAAACTCCCAAATCCTCTATAAAAAACATATAAAACCATATAAAAACCATATAAAAACCATATAAAACCAGACTTTCCAAATAGTCTTCGACGTTGATCTGGATGTTTTTCATCCTCCATATGCCTGATCGTCCCAGGCCAGCACCAAGCATAATGCCAACATCACCTGCGTTTGAAAAACGTTTTGAAACGTGCCGCTTGTTGGGTATGTGTATATATATATATATGGGATTTAATGGGATTTAATGGGTTTTAATGGTGATTTAATGGGTTTTAATGGGTTTTAATGGTGATTTAATGGCTTTTAATGGTGACTTAATGGGATCTAATGGGATTTACTGGGATATACCCTCTGGTTATGACGTTTACATAGCCATGGTTTTTCGATGGCCCATAGAAATAGATGGTTTACCGAACTGAAAAATGGTGGATCTTTCCATGGCGAACTGTTAAATAACCAATTTGTTTAAAAAAAGGTGGGAAAAACCACAGGAAAACCACAGGAAAATGGATGAACATGGGGATTTAAGGCCGAAATACCAGTGATTGTTTATGGACATTTCTCTGGGAATATCATCTAATAAATGGAATGACGTTCTGACCTCTGACTGGTATTTCGGGCCATAACTGTGGTATGTTCACCAATCATGTGCATTGGAGTAATATTTTGACTCATCATTGGCATTCCAGGAATAGTGCTTAATATCAATGGCCATTTCAGGAACCTAAATTGGAGGTACCTACCATATATAAGGCCTATATAAGGTGTATGTAAGGGAATATCCCCACAAAATATGGCCTCATATGGTACAGTACCTCCATTTTAGGATCCTGAAATTCCCATTGATAATAAACGTTGAGAAGCCTAATATATCACTGGGGTATATCTCTTACATGTCACCTTGCTCATTTCATACGGTCATTACCCACAAAAACACTATTCCGGGGGATGCACATTCCTTGGCACATTAAACTAGACCACAATTTGTGGTATATCTACCTGCATAATCCTACTAATAACATGAATCTGTCTTTGGACATTAATTGGTATTTTATGGAACATGCGGGTAAAGAGTTGAACGAAAGCCATATCAATCTCAAAAAAAACATTATATATTTATTTTGATATAACTAATGTTTGATATACCAACAGAAATGTATATGTTGAATAACTAATGATATATATTTCTGTTGTACTTTCTGTTGCTTCTATTCAGGGTCTCTATTTTTTGCAAATGCTTCACCATCCCTAATAATCCCCAATATCCCATCCCAGTGATAAATGGTAGCTACAGTTATGGCCCTTAACAGTTATAAATTGGTTTATAGTGATATTGATATATATATATATGATGGTATATGCTACATAACCTTTGTTTTAGGCCTTGTATTTCCATTTATAACTGTTAATGGCCATTCTGGGTAAATTATAATATTTCACTTACCTGAAATGTTGGGTTGTTTTGGGATGATTCCCCGAATCCCAATCATGATTCCAGGGTTCGGTCGCAGTGAGATCGGTGTAATTTACTCAGATAACTGTAGGCTTTCCCATCTTAGACGGCCATCACCGCCAATGCCAGGACACTGAACGCTTCCCTGTTGTGCCCACCTCAGAAGCCCCCCGAAACTGGGAGCTATGGACCGGTGTGGATATGAATAACATTTAAAAACAGGTAACATGATACAAACCATCATATGCCATACATACTGTAATTATATATATATATGATATAATATGATATATATGTATATGATACATGTATATATATATATAACATATATATATATATATATACATGTACCATATAACATTTTTCATAACCCCTGTCATAATGTCATAGATGCTTTTTTGGGTTTTCACTCGTCACATTTTTTTTCTTGTTGGTTCCGGAGGTATGTGATACACGGATACTGGGGCTCCCGGCAGCAATCAGGTCCGGCCTGCTTTTCCTGGCAGCACAACAAAAAGCAATTGTCACAAGCAAAAATGAAACCAATTTCAATTTATAATTTATATAATGATCAATTTATATCAATTTCCGAGGTGGATGAATCTCAATGCCTCTTGCCCTCCCGTTACTTGACAGGAGGTCGGCTTTGATTTGCATAACCACTTCCAGCTAGAGTAGCTGCAAGATTGAAGGCACCACAACATTTTTGCATAGCAAGCGACAAAAGTAAGAACCGTAAGTTAAAACCGGTTGAGACCACCCTAGACTCTTTACATTGCCATGTTTGACTACTAGCGGGTAAGGGTTCCATTGACATTCCCATGAGATGGCACACAACTTGCCAAAAGAAAGTTCAGGTTGGAGGCAAGAACTTTCGTTCGAAATACGTGTCAGACCCCCAACTAGCATCGACTACAATGCCCCCCCCCAGTTATACATTGGTTATTCTAAACGCATAAAAGAACATTCAGAAGAACAAAAAACACTCTAGTTCTACTAGCTACATCATGATCACCAACTTAGCATTTCTATCAGATTTGCCTAAAACCCCATCTTCGTGCCGAATCTTCCCAGTAGCCTAGCCATCCTTAGGCCATCCCAACCCGGGGGCTGGGGCTCCATGCAGCCGAGCGATGCTTAGCTCATCCTTGGTCAACTTTAACTTCTGACTACACGCAGCCATGACATCTCTGTCCTGGCGGAACAAAAATAAATTGGGAAAGGACTGATGGAGAAAAACTTAACTCCCATGAAAAAATATCTAATATCAATTCCCATATTATTATCATGTATTATGATTATATATATAATATATATATATGTATAAATAGAATTAATTAACAATATATATATATATATTAATGTATAGAGGGATTCATTGATGTTCATTGGGTGTATAACCAACAAACAAACCCGTGTTTTTGAACCAACGATGGAGGGGATGTACAATGATATCATTGGTGAGTTCCGCAACACCATCAACAACTTGTGCGCTACGAACGTGTGTATACCCCTCTATACGCGCCTACGTGGAATGATTCATACCACCCCCCAAATGAAAATATCATCAATGGTAATTTCAGGATCCAACAGATGGAGGTACTGTACCATATTTCTTGCTATATTTTGTGGGGATATTCCCTGAAACATAGGCCTGAAAAATAGGCCTTATATATGGTAGGACTTCCAATCAATCAGTGACTAGATGTGACTACTATCGTGGATCCCACGCTAGTCACATCAACGGAAAGAGCTGCGTTCTTTTGGACATCAACGACGGGTCAAGAGAGTGAGCTACATATAGCTATTGGATAACTATGAACATAAAACACAGATCAATCGAATAATAGATAGCAATAGCAAATGACAATACAATGACAATCAGAAATCACATGAGTGAAGTCTTTTGGTCTCACTTCAGGCCTCTTTCAGGCCTGATCCCCAACCAAAACGGTGTCACAGAACACGTCTTAGACCCTCGAAGCGCCCCCCCCAAAAAAATGATGGTAACAGTGCGAAACATCATGGAATAAAGAAACATGTTTGTTAGTACTTGGAGGGTCCAGGTAGAGATGTGATGGTCACATTGGATATTGACATGCCAATCGTCGACCTGGTAGTAATCAAAGAGACCATCTGCCTTGCCACAACTCCCAGTGGCTGCCTAGCAGAGCTCAAAATCTCAGATCATATGGACTCCAACCCGAAAAAAAATGGTGGCTATAACATCTGGTTGGTGGTTTTAACCATCTTGAAAAAATATGAGTTCGTCAATGGGAAGGATTATCCCACATATTATGGAAAATAAAGACATGGTATAGCCATCAGAAATGGCGGTTTCATCAAGGATTGAGATTTATTTCTAGATTCAACAATACTTGAACTGGGAAAACACATATGATCCAACAATGGTGGAATAGTATGGGGATTAGATTGATATTTATTTCTAGATTTATTTCTAGATCCACCATCTTTTTTATGGCCACAAATGGTGGATTCCAACACCACCATTTGAGGGTTTTTCCAACCAACATCAACACATCCACCGACCATGTCATGGGGATTTTTGGTGGGATATTGTTTTAGACAATTCCCCTCTTATTATCTTGGTGACCCCATAGATTTTATGTGTGGGTTTATGGATAGAATCTTTTCATCACCAAAAACCCAGTTTTGATTTTCATTAAAATCATGTCTGTTTTTCCAACGATGTTCGTTTTACGGAGTAATACAAGGAGTAATACGGAGCAATGCTTGGTGAATCTAACAATATATCAGGGCAATTTGCTTACCATCGGGCTGAATCCCAATAGGTGAGTTTGCCCGTTGCCGGGATGTGTTTGTTCCCCATGTCTTGCCTGTTCTGATCGGGGGTGATGACCCATTTACTACACCGTACGCGCCCTACCCTATATACCCTCTGGCAAACCAACATAGCTATGGAAAATCACTATTTTTAGTGGGTAAATCCACTATAAATGGCAGTTTGCAATAGCTATGTGAGTTTACCAGAGGATAATCAAATATCTGGATTCGACGCCATTCTTTTTCAATTCTCCTGTTCGTTCACAGAGAGATAACTTAGCTTCCCTGGGTCCGATCGGGAAAATTTACAGAACAGCCTGATTATTACGACTACGAATAAAAGGTCTCAACCCAGCCAATTGCCATTTACTTGGAGGATTTACCTGGTATTCCCATGTTTTTGTTTGAAATCGGCAAGTACCATCTGGTATGTTTTTTCTATGGAACATGGATGAAAATGGCCCAGAATTTGCAGAAATCTACAGAACGAGTACCATCTGGTTATTTAACATAGCCATGGACAATCACCATTTTTAATAGGTAAACCATCTATTTCTATGGGCCATTTCCCATGGCTATGTTAAATAACCAGAGGGTACCTATATATTCTCAGGTTTTTTTGTTTTCCACCCGCTGCCTGGAGCAACCAGGAGGCATTGCCGTGGAAGATGGAGTGAGGCGCCAGGTCGATGACTGCGGATGGATTTTGTTTATAGGCAGAAAAACGATGTCATAGCTATGCACATACGCACAATGTAGGCTTGACATGTGCTTATATGCAGTGTACATATTGTATAATATATGTATATAAATATATGTATATATATATATATTTATTTATTATAGATTATATATATATTATATGTATTATATTAATAATTAATCCTGTTGTCACACATATTTCATGTACATGATTGGACATGTATGATTTGCATTCAACAGACTTCTTGTATCCATCAAATTCCTTGGTGATTACTACTAGTTACTAGTATTCATAGATCATCATACTACATTCATCTGCACTTCGCAGTATCAATACTTTCCCTGACTCACCCCATGGGTCTCCTTTCCTTCCAACCGAAACAAGGTATGTCGGTCACATTTATTTCTGAAACTGTGGTGCTTCCTGTCAATAGAGCGTTTCAAATTAGGGAGAGTAATCCAGGTTGTAGAATTACGCCCAACCAGAGTTCGCCTCACTTTGAGGTTTCCAAGGTTCTAGGGTTCACAGAGGGGTATTGGTTTAGGCTTCGGTCCGGTAGGTGCTTACGGTAGGTCTTTGAAATTTTAGGGTATTTTAGGGTGTTAGGGTGCAGGATGACTTGGGCAATGACGCACAGTCCCCTACTCAGGCGCTTCTCAGGACTGTCCGAATGCCACTAATCCATTTCCTCAATACAAATCTCTCCCACCAAATAGTGAGCCAGTGGATTTTTTATTTTTTTGGGAGGGGTGCCTGGTACAAAAGGGTCCCTGGGTCCCTGAATAATAAATCAAACACACTCACGAAGAAGAACATGTCGCTTTCTACATCTTTCAAAACCTAGTTAAAATCCTGTTTGAAAGCTTTCAATTGTTGCCAAAAAATACTTTTAATGGGTCCCTAATAAGAAAGGAAATACCCTAATCAAAAAAACAAGATGCCGCTTTCAGAATAAATCATCTTGTAAATGCTATTCTAATATGGCCAAGAATTGGATTTCGAATGGTTCCCGAATAATATAATTTTCAAAGAGACAAGGGAACCGGAGGACCCTAGTGAAAAAAAAAAAAACAAATGCCATCCGGTTTATAATTAGGCTCCAGGGTCCAAGCCTGAAAGACCAGATTTACAGAATGGATTTTAAAAGGACCAACTTGAAAAACTGAATTGAACAAATCAACATCAGAAATTCGAGGAACGTGAAGCTATCTTTTGGGGGACCTTGGTAATTGGGGCAAGAGATTATGTACAGTGCTTCAGTATGGGATTTGGCTGCCATATAAGAAACGGGCTGTGTTCAGGGAAATGCTCAACAAAAATACAATCATCTAACATCAAACCCCAAATATAGAGGATTATAAACAAATAATGCTAAAGGTGTCCTCTAAATGTTATCCAGTTATCCATCATCCATCACCATCTATCATCCATCATTCATCATTCAACATCCAGCATTCATCATCCATCATCCATCATCCATAATTCATCATCCATCACCCATCATCCACCATCATCATCGTCAACACAATAACATTATCCTTATTTTTGAATATCATCTACTTTTATCGCTGGTGTACGTTCTAAAAGCAGCCTCCGGTTGATGTCCCTGAATAGTTCAATGAAACAGCATCAGATTCTGCAATAATGGCCCTTTACCATTTGTTATTAACATAAGTCACTGATATTCACTTACAACATGTCAGAACCCCGTTTATGGAATAATCAGATAAAATAAGCACATTCATAACATTTCATAACCATCAACGGGTTGGCAAGGCATGGAGTGCTTAAAGGTGAACTCCACACAACGGCCTGGAACGGAATTGCACACCACGTTCACAGTCACACCATGACCTGGCGCTCAGATGATCTCAGTGCGTTAAGTTCAGCACGTGGATCGTATGTTTTTTTCGTGTGCGAAAAAATGTGTGAAAAGACACGAAGTTCAAAGATCTTCAAAGGAAATTCAAAGTGCAACTGGTCGGTGGTATAGTTTCAACAAACCCCTCTGAAAAATATGAGTTAGTGAAAGTCAGTTAGGATGAAGACATTCCCAACTGAATGGAAAAGTCATGAAATTCCATGGTTCCAGACCACCAACCAGTCTCAAACCCATATGCGAACCATGGTGCTGGAATATGAATCCCATCATTTACCCCATAAACGGCCCAAATGTAAGTCAATAATGGTAAATATACTATACATGGAGCATATGGGAAGGAAATTCAAAGTATCGACACGGCTGACGCTAACGCGTTTTGCCTTCCCATGGAGTGGTCAACACGTCCTGCCTTGAACCTGGCGTTGAAACTTGGGAAGGTCAGTGTTTGTCACATACCTCAACATAGATCTGCAACAACCATGGTTTCCCCAGGAAAATGCCAAAAAAACACATGGCGGATTTTCCAGATGTCAAATTCATGAGGGTAAACTTAAGCATCCCTTCCAACAAGGCTATGCCACTGCCATTTCCATAGCCATTTCCGGAGTAGTCGCTGTAGCCGCCGTAGCCAGCGCCACCGCCGCTCCCGCTGCGGCCGCCGCTATAGCGAGAGTTGTAGGAGTTCCAAGCCTTGGTGGTTTCACCCTCTCCCAAAACTACCCTCTGGTAGTTTAACAGTTTGCTATTGAAAATTGCCATTTATAGTGAGTTTTCCCATTAAAAATGGTGATTTTCCATAGTTATGTTAGTTTACCAGAGGGTAGTTGCTTTATGTTGCGCTGTGAATCAATGAAGGTACAGTATTTAAAACAATCGATCAGTCTAGGGGCTCAGAAATTGTCAAGCCAATCAATCACTTCGTGATTTCAACATTTAAAAACATGGCAATTTCATGTCAAAGGTGATCCTAAAATGTTGAGATCAAAAACATACTTCCATCGCGGGATCATGTGTTGTGTGCTGCCAAATCGACCACCATTATATCCAGTGACATGTTCACAGGATTTTCATCTTAAATCATGTATCATTGAGTGCTCAAGTTCCGCATGTTTTTGAGGTTAACTTCAATAGGGACCCGCTGGTCGAATTTGATATGGTGTGTTGTTATATATATATATATGTATAATATACGTGGATTTCTCATGATTTTTCTATATATTTATCACATCGCCAAGCCGTTGATGAAGAAGTCACATGTGTGGCGAGATGATCAATCCGAAGTCAATAAAAGCACGAGTCGTGATTTGGAAGTGCGGTATCCTATGGTATCCTTGGGCCACAAAAAAGTATAGCTAGGATTGCTCATGTGGTAATCCCAATAAAAAAAAAAATCCATCCCCAAATGCAGCAAACGAGGTGATATAAACCCTCAAGACAATTTTTTTGGCATTCTTGGGTTTACATGGTTTGCCACAGGAATCATATATTCTCAGACGTGAAAATGCCGGTCAACTCCCAATGGTTTTCCAAACTTCACCAAGTTTTGCTGGTGAAAATAGGGAATTTTAGACATAACGAACTGGAAAATCACTATTTTTAATGGGAAAAGTCACTATTTGTATGGCCATGTTCAATAGCTATGTAACAAATTACCAGTTCAATCTTCCATTTTCTAGGTGACAACCTCATCACAACGTTGCTTAAATCCCTAGATTTTCTTCACATCTACAAGTTTTTTTATGAAAAAATGGAACCTTCATTCTCGGTGAAATCCTGCAAGTTTACCGGTCAAAATCCTGATGCTTTGAAACGTCATGCCATAATTATGGTTATAACAATAATTGTACAATGTGGTGCCCTATAGTTAGCTAAGTTGGTTTATAACTTCAATAACTGTGGTTTATGGTACTAGTATATAGATATATCTATAGTTAATGGGGTTTATAAACCAACTTATAACTGGGGGGCACAACCTTGTAATATATAACAATATTATAACACATGGGAATAACTGTATGTAATATAATAATACATAATATATACAATAGTTGTAATATATAACATAATTATGGTTATAACAATATTATTACAACCATGCCAAACCATGCTAAATCTCATCCACACCACACCATCTGCTGAGTCCGACATCTGTTTCTTCTCCGATGGTGTCCATGAGTCGTTCCCAGGCCTTCTCTAACTCATAGTCCTGGCACATTCGAGGATTCACTGGTGATATACGTTACATCGATGCAGATGTGTTTTATCAGTTTCTGAGCGTAAACATATCAATTAATTTCAATACTTGGAAGAGAAATCGGTAGGTAGATATTCAACTACTGTCTATCTATCTATGTATCTATCTACACATCTGTCCGTGTATTAGTATAAACCAGTGGAGCGGGTCGTTGATGAGGCCCAATCCAAGTTTATCATCGACTTGTCGCCATAATTAGGATTAATTAGTGGGAAAGACCCCTTATGATATATTATATCCTTTTGGATCCAAATATATCCTAAGAAGGTACTACACCTAACGAAATTGGAGAACCTTTGGAATTTGACCAACAAAAACAACACGATTAAAAAAATAACTCCCGAAGAGACAATTCGGTAGTAACAGAGATCTGGAATCAACCTGGGAAAATCATCAACAAACATATAATTGTAGTTAATTTTATGGGCCACGGTCACGTTCAATATTTAATATATAGCTCCAAGTCATCAAATTTAGAAGAGTGTATTATCGATATTATCGTTTCTCAGGTTTTGACAAACCATGTTCGTATTCCCTGTGTATTCCATTGTATTCTGATGGTTTTCCAGCAAGGGATGAGATGCTTCCTGGCCCTTTCAAATGCGGCACAGCCAACCAAAATTCTCGGACATTCATGTTCTTCATGGAATTGCCGCCACCGCTAGCACAACCACCACTATCACATCACATCCACCACTATCACCCACCACTGTCACCACCACCACAACTGACGAAAGCTTCATTTTCACATCTTCCACTCAGTTTTTGAAGTCTCGCAGGAAAGCTTCATTATGCTTCATTTTCCCATCTTCCACATTCAGTTTTTGAGGGAAGTCTCAAGCACGAAAGCTTCATTTTCACATCTTCCACTCAGTTTTTGAAGTCTCGCAGGAAAGCTTCATTATGCTTCATTTTCCCATCTTCCACATTCAGTCTTTGAGGGAAGTCTCAAGCACGAAAGCTTCATTTTCACATCTTCCACTCAGTTTTTGAGGTCTCGCAGGAAAGCTTCGTTTTCACGTCTTCCACTTTCAGTTCCAACAACTCATTCAGGAACATCTGAGCCCTGCCATGTCTTTCGCTTGCTTGCTGCTCGTCTTGGACGAGCAAAGCGCGCAAGAAAAAAACATTTTTTCAGCGATCAATGGGCCAGCGTCTGGCCGATAGGGATTATGTGATTGTTTGGTTCTTGTGTCGTTATGGTTGGCGAATCGTTTGGGACACCTGGTTGGATCAAAAAAATCTGCAAAATAATGTTTCTGGGAAAAGCTGCTTTTGAAAATTCTTACTGCTGTCTTGAACAAAGCTTGAGGCTGCCGCGGAAAACGAAAAGCACAAACTCCAAAAAGAATAGAGGAAAGAGCGGAATCTAGAGCACCCACACTCTTCCTGCCACAAGGCAAGACCTTGTCTTTTCCTTTCTCCAGCATGGCGCGTCGTCACTAGCAAGAGTTGAGGCAAAAGACTGATATGTGGCCGTACAGTACTTGAAATTTACTCAGCATGCAGCAGCGCAAACAGCAGCAAAAACAGACCATCACCACACAGCAATGACATCACCAGATACTACCTGTTCAAAACATGATTTTGCCGTTTGCCTATCAAACAAATGGTGAATGCTATTGAATTCCACAAAGGCATCGAATAACGTGCACCGTAAGACAAAGGATGACTGATGACCAAGATCAAACAGCAAATGTTATCGTTTGTTGAAGAGTGTATTATCGTTTTCCATGCCCCATCTCAACTTCCAAAAATATTTTTAAAAAAACGAAAGAATACTACTCTCCACTGTGTTTATTTTGGCTGTAGCTCATTTTTTTAGGATTCACCCAACCATGGAATCTCTTGCCGGACTCAGGGAAACCATGGCCTCAGGGGATTAACAGTTGTGGATTGTGGTCAAAGCGTGACCACACATATCCTTCAGTTACATGTCAACGTCGGACGCCTTGAACAACTGTCATTTTGGGGAACGAATGAAAGGGTCGGATAAATATAATATACGTATATACGTATATAATATGTATCATTGATATTCATTGATATTCATTGATATTCATTGATCTTCATTGATCTTCATTGATATTCATTGATATTCATTGATATTCATTGATCTTCATTGATCTTCATTGATCTTCATTGATATTCATTGATATTGATATTCATTGATATTCATTGATCTTCATTGATCTTCATTGATCTTCATTGATCTTCATTGATCTTCATTGATATTCATTGATATTCATTGATCTTCATTGATCTTCATTGATCTTCATTGATCTTCATTGATCTTCATTGGTATTCATTGATATTCATTGATATTCATTGATATTCATTGATATTCATATGTCCATATCCTTGTACAGGTTCTGTGGGATTCCCAAACTAATCAAAAACTCGTAACCAAGCCGCGGCAGTGTTCTCCCCCCAAGTCATGTCATGTTTGTTTGACCAACTTACAGTGTTTTTTTCTGGAAAAAACAGACGCCGTTGAAAGCTATCAATTGTGAGCCCCTTCCACCACAAGATCCACAAGTCACTGTAAAAGGCACATCCAGCATCCTCCCGGATCGTCCTGTAGGGCTTTCCAGAAGGCTTTGTGGTTCATGGTATGTCTGCCTGGATCTCCTTCGGACCAACATCGCCAGTTGCATGGTGAAGCTAGAGGCAAAAAAACCCTTCGACCCTTCTGGTTGAACCAACCAACCACTCTGTTCTGCAGTTGAGTTTATCACACCTTCACAAATTTCATCAGCGAAAACTGCCCCTGAAAATCCAGCTGGGATCTTCCCTTGCCACCAGTGGGATCCAGTGGGCAAAATCTGTCGGAGGTCTGAGGTGAGCTACAGTGGTTTAAGCTCAGTTTCTAGATTAAACCAGCAAATTTCTCCGGTTTGGGCGTGTTCCATGTCCTTAAAGGTGAAAAAACTCACAGCAGGTTTCCCGCCACGTTGACGGCTTATGATGCTTATATATATATATATCTTCCCTACATTTGTATCTTCCATGATTTGGCCATACAGCGCAGTTACAAGCGGATTCCACGAAGGGATGTCCGATGTTTTTATGAAGCAAAAGAATGATGTGGTATATGTGGTTTTGAAAACTCAAATACCAGTATATACCAGTACATTGAAGCAACTTCAACTTCGGCATGTCCAAAGTTATCAAAGTTCTGATTTAGGCAACCGTTCCTCATCGCAAAGATGCTCGAAAATACGTTCGCTCGTCTCGAAAATAACATCTACCCTCTGGTTATGACTAACATAGCCATGGTATAGATGGCCCATTTATGGATGATTTTCCCACTAAAACCTCCATTTATGGTTGGGATTTTCCATGGCTATGTTAGTCATAACCAGATGGTAACATCAACCAGTTTCCTTCAAGGATCAACATCAACCTCAACGGTCCAGCAGAAAGCACCAAGTTTTGTCGTCTGGGGCAGCTACGGTAGAGCGCAACCAAACAAGCCATCATGACCTGAGCGATTGACATCCTGGCGATTGACATCCTGGCGATTCTCCAGTGATTTTCATGGTTAGAGAAAATGTTACCCTGGTAAGACCAACATTTCTACACTCCAAACTCAGGCAGAAGATGATGTTATACCCTCTGGTAAATTAACATAGACCCTGGCTATTTTCGGGGTTGGAAGACTAGTTTCCATTAAACATTGGTGATTTTCAGGGTCAACGAGTTGGTCCATGGTCCCGGAAAATTCCATCTTGAGTTCATCCAAGTATCATGGTTCCCCAGTTTATCCCAGATGCTCCATGGTGCTGGTATATTTACCAACATTTACGCTAAAAAAATCACCCAGTTTTGTAGGTATAGATATACCAGCACCATGGTTCGCATATGGGTATAGTATCATCCAGTACCCCAATTTTCGTCTTGGTGAAGCCGAAAAACACACAGCGCAGCTACGGAGGCTCCCCACCGATCGCTTTCCAGCGACACCTACGACCTTGATGTGTTTCAGGTCATCTCTACTCAGCCTGGGCCGGTGGAGCACCCAACAAAACTGGGATCAACAATGGAGGATCTGAAAAATTGCCACTTATAGAGTACCAGGTATAGTTGACATATATGTTTACCAAGTATTTTAAAGGGTATCCTACAAACTTTTGCGCAACAACATATTGAAACCAACAAGCAAGGACACGTTTGGAAAAGGCTGGAGGCGAGTTCATTTTTTGCCAAGCCAACCTGGTCATGCGTAACGATGAGCCCGGGGCCCCAAGAAATATCAAAGGCCAATCTAATTAGCCATCTTACTAAGGGGGACGCAGTTAACTGGGATTACAACACATCAACTATGAAGTTATGAAGGTCTCAGGTTTGCCATGGAGGTAGCCCCAGTTCTCATCCTGTTAAACATGGATTTTCATGGATTTTCCATGAAACCATCCAGCTATTGTGGCCCAGGTGATCTTACACCTCTGGTCATAAAATCCCACTAGGGTGACCAGGTAGTTGGTCCATAAGTAGATTAACTAATGATTATATACTCTAGTTTAGGGATGTTTGGGCTAGATATATCAAAAACATGATTATAGCCTAATGATTATATAACTATAATGATTTATATCTATATATCTATAACAACTATATGGATTATTTAACTAATGATTTATTTATATCATAATATATCTATAGATTGGGATTGCTTATAGTCGACCATTTTTCTTCAGTGCTCGGAGGCTCGGCCCCACCGAAGTGAGGGACTAAAAATTGTTCATCCAGAATCCTACTGGATTGGTGCTATGGTGCTATTGTCGTTTTGGATTATATACTCAATATACTCAGTATACTCCATGCGCCTGCCTATGCTGCGAAAAATTCCATGTTGCGAAACATTTGTGGATTTCCTTCTCTACCAACATCGCAAAGTGGGGTATTCACCACCCTGTTTTTTTGTTGCGCAGTAGCAATGTTGACCCCCAAAGTTCAACATCCGCCATGCTGTGAAGACATACTTTGACTCTCAATCTGTCGCAAGCTAGCCATACAAATGTGATCTAAGCAACAATCTCTCGGGTAAAATGGTCTTAAATACGAATTCTCCATCATCTTCCGTGATATGTTCCATCATTGTCTTACTGGTGCTAAACATAGGGAATGGATGGGTTTCTGGGGGTTGCTGGGATGACTATTGATACTTAGCCAGTGGATCATTCCCGAAAATTCCCTGCGTTTTTTACGCACCAGTAAGTTTTAAAATCCATTCTGCAAATCTGATCTTTGAGGCTTGGACCCTGGACCCTAATCATAAACCTACAGGATGGTGCCCCCCAGTTATAAGTTGGTTTATAAACCCCATTAACTATAGTTATATCTGCCATAAACCATAGTTATGGGAGTTATAAACCAACTTAGCTAACTATAGGGCACCACCTTGTACCATCATTGTTCCATGTTTTTCCATCACTGACCTACCATTTTCCATGGAGGCTTTCCAGCAGCGCCTGGCTACTGAAAGGTCATCGCGGTGAAAGCCCAGAGCAACGCAGTCCTGGAGTCCGCAGTCGCTACTGATTTTGACACGTCTGATTTTTTTTCGGGAAAAATGAAAAATCACCATGTTTAATGGGAAAACTCACTATTTCTATGGCCATTATCAATAGCTAGATGAGAAAACATTACAGTACGACCTGGTGTTCGAGGAAAAAATAAGCCATATGTTTAAGATTGCTGAAGGGTACAGTACCACATGATATAACATCATATAAATTCAGAAAATATAACATCTATAATATATATATATATGTATAATTATATATATATATCATACGAATCAAAACAATGTGTTGATTCACCATCAATTGCATAAAAAAATTGCAGGTATGACTAAGTTGTACCATTGCACCAATGTAACTGCTTGTGGTTTTGAGATGAAATTATTATTTGATATCCTTCAAACATGTGAAAGTCCAATGGCACAAAACCATTCCATTTGTTGGGATGAGTAAAAGACACGGTTGAATTGGTGTGAAATCATCAATAAGTCACAATGAGACATCTTTTGGAAACATGCCTAACCCATTGCCAGCTGTGGTGGTTGTGGTTGGTTGCTGTCATCGTTGTCATTCTGAACAAACCACATGTTGAAGGGAAAACTGATACTTTATCACTTTGTGAGTTGTGAAGCTGGTTGAAGCTGTCTGTTCTCTTCAAAACGTGGCCACTGGTGGCGGAACTTGGCGGATGCATTTTGGTTGCCCCGGAAGTGATCAGCCACTTTTCTTTGTGTACGTATATATATATATACTATAGCTAAAATCTGTGCAAGTAATAATTGATGCTTGAAACATCAAAGTATTGCAAGGATATCATCTGCCACCACTGCCACCCGCACCACCACGATGATCAACAAAGACACACAACATGTAAAACAACACACGTCAAAACTCAAACAAACACT